GGGAACTTTCGGGGCCTACGGCCCCTCGGACGAAAAATATACATAACATAACATAACTTTCGGTGAAAGTGGTCAACTCTCTCCTGTAAAAATTTTTCCTTGGCACCCGCTGTTAGCGCGCTGCTAGGGCAGAAAGTTTTTGCAGGCCAAAATGGCAGCAAAGACAGCTGTGGGCTTAGCGGGACCCTAACAGCTGCCTGAAGAAAGGGATTCAGAGAGTTGACCTTTCTTCGTGACATGTGTCTCCAACGACACTGAGCTCCGCGAGCTCTTGACATCGCCTTCGGGCACCATTTCCTTTGTGATATCTGCGGCTTCTTCCTACCTCGACATTACGGCTTCGCGAGCCTTCGACATTCCGGGCTCTGCGCCCCTTCGATTTCCCGCACAACCGACATCTGCAGCCTCGGCTGCCCAGACGACACTTGCGGCATTCTACCGCTCGACACTTGAGGGTCATCGCATCCTCACCCACATCCTCACCTGCAGCCCAACGCTGCCTCGACCGACCTTTGCGGCTTCGGCTGCCAAACAAGACCAGCAGCCGTCAGCTGCGCGACTTTCTGGGCCCTCAGTTGCCCCCAACTTCGACGCACGGGCCTCAAATGGCTCGCTGCCCTTTTCGTAGCTCAAACGCTGCATGACCGACCTCTGCAGTACGCATACTGCCCAGAGAACCTCTTTCTTTCTGCAGCCTCGGCTGCTGCCCGGAACACAACCGGGCCTCGACGATATGTCTCACTGGATGAGACCACTAGACACAAACCGCTGGGTCAAAATGGTACAGAGCTTACCTGGAGACCGTGGAAGGGGGCAATTGCCTCGTCTACAGAGCAGCGTCCTGGCCACCTTGGGTTTTTCCCCTGCGAGGGGTTTCCCTAAGGATGCATAGTTCTAGGGTTGCAGCTACTGGCGATCTTAGGGGTTATGGTTCTCCTGCCTTTGGGCATGGAAAGCTACTTGATCTATCTGTGCAAGAGAATTCTAGGCTGGAGAGGGATATGTTCCCGCTGACGGGATGCCCTCTTGAGAGTAATGCGCTTTTGTGCCGATGATATACTGGATGAACTAGATGGAGACGCTGCTTGAGGGAAGCTCTGCTAAGATCAGATGTATTGATGTCCTGTAGGACGTGCTTCACCGGCAACTACTGTAGGGCAAGCTACGAGTAGAGAGGTGCCTCTTGGGGGGATGAGTAGAGAAAAAGCTCGAGCATGTATACGGCTCCGACGCAAGAGGCCTTGCAGATGACCTGAGCGAGGATCATTACGGTAGCGATTGTAGATAGTTTAGCTCAGCACGTCCTGTGCCCCAGTAGGGGACTTTCGGGGCCGATGGCCCCCCGGACGAAAAATATACATACATACATACATACAACCCATTCAATCAACAGAACAACAAAATGGATTGACGTATTACATAATCAAATCTCGATGTTGATTGAGTTGAATTGACGTTGATCATCAATCCATTCAATATATTGAAATACGTTGAGTGGTTCCCATCCTTGGTTGGAAGAAGCAGCCGTTGGAGCTTTACCTCCTAACCCGACCATTGAGAATCTGCCCAAGATTACCTGGAAGAACCGTCGCTTCGTCCAGGAGGATTCGCTGGCTCGAAAAGGTGCAAAGGGCAGGAAGAGCTGGATTAGGTCGCATGGGACCTTCCCAGTCGAGCTGAGCTATCAGGATCTTCCGATAGGTCACGTCTGGTGCTGCAATCGATGTGATATGAGAGGCGCAGGGGAGTTCTTTTCGGTACAAGCCACGTCTTCCGCAGCGGACCATCTTCGAAAGTCTGTGCTTATCCCGTTCAATCTCATTGACAAGATACCCAGCAGCTGACCGACCTGCATAGAGCTCACCGGATCACCCCAGCCAGCCAGTCTAGCGAGTCAAGTCCTGGTGATGAAGGTGTCATTGATATTTATTCTGGTGCAACACCGAAAAGGCGCCGGCTTGAACAGAGCGCCATACCAAGGGCGAAAATAAAAGCCATCCAAGAACTAAGCGTCGGCTTCGTCATTGATAGCGATGTGCCATTCACTATCTTCGAGCACAGCTTTCTTCGGAAGATCTTCAACCATTTCGACAGTGATTTAGTACTCCAGATGGCGTGGAGTGGTAGTTCTGTCACTAGAGAGATACATCGACTCTTTGAAGCGAAGCGGGATACCATCAAAGCAGAGCTCCGCAACGCTTTGACAGCGGTGCACATTAGCTTCGACCTCTAGACGTCACCGAATCGCTTTGCAATCATGGCTGTATTTGCGCACTTTATCGATCAACTGGGGCATCAGCAATCCCGTCTTCTGGCTTTGCGTCGTCAATCTGGTGCTCATAGTGGCGAGAACCTCGCCGGTTCTCTGGTCGACATCGTCCACGAATCGGAGATTGAGGGGCGAGTTGGCTGTGCCATCTCTGACAACATGGCGGCAAACGATACTTGTCTGTACCACATGTACCAGCGGCTCGATCCATCGATGAGACCTGTTGATATCAAAGCCCGCCGGATGCGATGCTATGGGCACACGCTCAATCTCGTCGCGCGTGCCTTTCTCTTTGGCAAAGACGCCGAGTCATTCGAGCTGGAGTCTGACATCAACGGCATGCGCGGTCTTGTTGAGCAGGACCTGGATCATTGGCGCAGGAAGGGACCCATTGGGAAGCTCCGCAACATTGTCAAGTTTATCCGTTCATCGCCGCAGCGGAGCGAACAGTTCAAGCGAGTTGCCCGGGAGCAGGATCACGAAGAATACCGGCTCTGCGAGGAATCCACGGCCGAGCTCGAGGTTGTCATGAACAACGAAACGCGGTGGAACTCCACTTACATGATGATTGAGACGGCTTTGCGAAAGCAGACAGATATCAGAGCATTTATCTTTGCAATTCAAGAAGAGGAAGACGGGGCAAGACGGATCCCGGCGGAGGACATATTGTCCGGCGAAGACTGGCGGGTTCTTTGCGAAGTAAACGAGGTTCTCAAGCCCATATACCTTCAGACGATGCGGACGCAAGGCTGGGGTAAAGGTGACAGCCATGGACGCCTGTGGGACGTGCTGATAGGAATGGAATATCTGTTGGAGCATTTTGAGGACTGGAAGGTCTTCTATAGAGAGGTTACGGAGGAGACGATGGGAGAAACTCAAGTGGATGCTGCGGAGCGGATTGCAACGGCGTCAGCAAATTTCCGAGAGTCCAACGGTCGGCCAAGCCGCGTTCGCCGTCTCCCTGCCCGCTTTGAGGAGGATGAGGTTTACGCGCTACCACAGCGGAGTCAACCTCCGAGATTCGTAGAATCTGCCTTACCGTTGCATTCTCGGACTGATTATTCTACGGCGGAGAAACGATCAGCGTCCGAGACGTCGCAAAAGAGCACATTACCAGCGGACCATCGAGCCTACATCCGGGCATCAATCAACAACGGGTGGAAGAAGCTGAATGAATATTATGACAAGCTCGGAGAATCTCCCTTGTTTGCGGCAGCAATCATTCTTCGCCCGAGGTTCGGGATCAGCTGGTTAGAGGCGACTTAGGTGTCTGAGGAGCAACTCGCTTGGGTTCGTGATGCCAAGGCTGGAATCAAGGATTCCTTCACCCGTTGGTACGACGCGAACCAGGGACTGTGCGAGGAAACAACGAAGTACGACGCAGCGCCAAGGACGATGGGTCAAGAGGATGATCAGTACACTCAGTGGATTAATAGCAAGACAAAGTTGCGACGGGTGGCAGTGTCGGCGAGCTCGAAAGGTACCTCCGTCTCGAGCCACAGGATACGCAGGATGCTATCCAATGGTGGAGAGACCACAGGGCTTCGTTTCCTTCACTGAGCAGCTTTGCCCTGGATGTCTTTGCTATTCCAGCGATGGCGAGCGATTGTGAGAGACAATTCAGCCTAGCGAAGCTGACGTTGACTTCTCAGAGGCTCTCGATGGGCGCAGATACATTGGAACATGTTCAATGCCTCAAGAACTGGGTCAGGCAGGGCGGAGTAAGGTTAGGTAGTTGGGTGGGTAGCTGAGTGTTGGTGTACACGAGGGGGATGACTTCGGGTAGGGGTCTCCACTCACGGAATTGAAAAGGGTATCAATCAAATCAAACAAATCAACTTTGAGCTCGAGGGCTGTCAATCAAATCAACTTCGGGGCCAAAGTTGATTTGATTGACATATGATGACCGCTGTAGTCGATGCCTTCATAACCAATATAGTCGACCGAAAATGATACGTCATCCGCCGCTCCTCCTTTAGTCTCTGACGAACTGAGGTCAGGGCTATCAAGGAGGCTAAAAGCAGTAGAAGGAGCACTAGAAAGAGCTCTTGACGCCTGGCCAGTATTCGCATATTAAACCATATCAAATAAACCACGAGAATTAACTATCCAGACAAAGAAGATGCAGGGCAACAATATCAAAGTTTCTCCTTCGCATAAGATCGACCAAGATCTTTCAGCTGATGAACGGCCACAGCAGCTCGGGGTTGTTTTTTACACTTCTTTTGGACACTATAAAACGGTAGACACATACAAGCGCCTAATGCTAAGCCGATGCCTGAACAGCGGTTCGACCCAGTCGTCGTCGGCAGCTTCTGGGACAAGTATGCCAGCCGCGGCTCTCTGGGAGGTTTTTCTTGTTTTGAGGAGTGGGGACTGACGAATTGGCGATCTATAGCTACCCAGTGTGTCGATCAGAGGACAGGAGGTCGGCGTAAAGGTCTATTCAGACCGGCGGGTATCTCTATTTGGATCAATTGCGCAACCGAATGTGGTATAGACAAGTCGACCAACATAATCGCTATGACAGTTTGCCATTTCTAGAGTGGGCACTTTAGAGATGGAAAGGCCTTTGTTCAGCTACCTAAATAATCTACTCAGTTTGTAGTTGTAATTGATAGTCTGGCTAATGACAACAGGGAAGCATGGTTATCAGGTGGCACCAATAAGTCGCTTTGTGTTGTTTAGAAGCTATCGCATGCACGGATGGATAGTCGAGATCAAATGAGCACTTGATTTTCTATCTAAAGGAGCGATGAGAGTTGGTCTCTTATACTCATGGTCAGTCTGCCGATCGTCTAGGCAGCATCCTGCTGCCTGTGATTTAGAGTTCATGACAACCGTGAAGTTATTCACCATGGTCGTGATCCTTGCCCTTGAAATATTCAGCCTCGTCCACCCATAATGTGCACCTCGGTGCTGTGACTCTCGGTATTCCTCTTCTTGATCGCCACCAAATCCAGCCCCCCGTCACGCGTCCAGTCGGCGACCATGAACTCAAACATGCCGAGAGTCCTATGTAGCGCCGTTTCTGAGTGCAGGATGAAGTTCTTGTAGTTTGACGCACCCGATAGCACATGCAACTCAGTGCTGCCACTGCTAGTATTACTTTTCTTCACCACAACCAGATCGGGGCACCCGTCAGCGTTCCAGTCTGCGACGGCGAAGTCGAACGTGGCATCAGTTTCATGCAGGCCAGTGCCTGTCTGCAGAATGAATTTCTGGAATCCCGACGCGCCGGACAGGATGTGCATTTCAGTGCTCTTGGTGCCGGTCTTGGATTTCTTGATCGCGAACAAGTCCGGCTTGCTGGCAGCGTCCCATTTTCCCATAGCAAAGGCGAAGGTGTCGTCAGTTTCTTGCAGCGCGGTCCCGGTTTGTAGAATGAAGCTTTGGAAATTGGAGGCTCCGGAGAGGATCTGGACCTCAGTGCTCTTGGTATCGGTGCCGTTTTTCTTGATCACGACGAGATCCAAGGTGTTGTCACCATTCCAGTCTGTGAGGGCAAAATCAAAGTGTGCAGTCGATGTCTCGTGCAGGCCAGTTCCCGTTTGGGTAATGAATGTCTTGAATCCTGAGGCTCCAGAAAGGATGTAGACTTCCGTGCTGTTGCTGCTAGTGCCGCTCATCTTGACAGCGACCAAGTCTGGCCGGCCATCTTTGTTCATGTCACCCATCAGGAACTTAACGGTGTCGTCAGTCTCGTGCAATGTTGTGCCCGTTTGCAAGACGAACTCAAAAAGTTCGGACCCATAGTTCCTTGAAGACTCTTGTATCTCTCTTTTAAGCCGAATGAACGCATTTCTCCGTCCCTCCCCATATATGAGCGGCATATGTACGCCGAAAATGCCTAGCAAAGAGTATGCAGCGTCCTCTTCGCGTTTGGTGTCGCGGCTTCTTGCCCATGACATTCGCTCATCAACGCCGAATCGAGAAAGAGGGCTTCCTTGAAGAGCTTGAATGCTGATTCCCGTGATCTCTTGAATTTCTTGCACCATTGATTCTTTGTCGCCAAGTCGCTCGCCCTCAAGGGAAAAAAATTCGACACATGTCGGAGCAACAAGCTCTTGGAGCGTCCAGCCCCGAGTAAACCATCGGCTGTGTCTAAACGCTGTTTTCCATGTCTGCTGAGAGGACAGGGTGTTCCTGACGGAGTCACTGATCGAAACATCAGAGAGGTACGCATAGCATTTAGCCGCATTATGATACCAGTGAAACATGGAGTTAATCGCCTCTAAAAGCTCCGCGCTGCTTGATTTGTCGATACAGCAGGTGTCCACCCAGAAGAACTGGAGGTTGTCATTTGCACTTTGCTTCCCGCAGAAACGGATCTTCTCATAGCCAAGCTTGCTCTTCCCTGTACCCTCTACCAAGTCTTTAAAGGTAACCTCTTCACAGTCCTCTCCCCAAGTGTGCGAAAGAATAGTATAGGGCGGAATGCTATCGCCAACAAACTCAGCTAGGCTGAATTCGCCGTCATTTCCAACTCTTAGAAGACGCATGATGATCGTCAGAAGACTCCAGGTATGGGAATAGGTTGAAAAGAAGTGGGATTGCTGCAAAGGAAGGTTTAAATGGAGCGCGGGTCTATCCTAGTTCAGTTCAATTCCTACTTGATTGTAGGGCGTCGTCTAGGCGCACAGGACCTGTGTGCTCGGGGCACAGACCCCCCTGTCAGCAGGCTAGGGGCACAGCCCCCTGACTAAGCATTCATCATTTATGGGTGGCCAATACAGAGGCGCCCTCCTTTCAATATTTGCGCGCCTGGGGGTACATAAGTTGCTCTCCAACTAAGCCCAAATACCCTTATCCAAACTATAAAAACGAGTGGTTTAAGTATATATAAATAAGAACAAGCTACTAGGGAAGCATGCATATTCTTTACTAGTATATTATATCTCATTTTTATGAGTTTTTGGCAAGGAGTTCTGTGTCTACACTTGTACTGCAGAGGGCGCGCCCGCCCGCTGATGTCAGCAAACTCAAACGAAAAAGGTGTACAGAAGCAGAAACAAAACTTCTAGCACCCAGGGCAATAGATTGATACTTACGAAACTAGCAAAAATATTAAAAAACCAATGCAAAATTCACTTATTATTTAGATGGTACTGATTCCCCCGTTTTTGTGGTCTGGTTGATGGTATTTGGGCTTAGTTGGAGAGCAACTTATGTACCCCCAGGCGCGCAAATATTGAAAGGAGGGCGCCTCTGTATTGGCCACCCATAAATGATGAATGCTTAGTCAGGGGGCTGTGCCCCTAGCCTGCTGACAGGGGGGTCTGTGCCCCGAGCACACAGGTCCTGTGCGCCTAGACGACGCCTTGATTGTAGCCGCTAGTTACATAAGCAGCCATGACCATGGCAGGCTATAGAGGTGACTGTTGCAAAACCCCCCAAAATCACCGCTAATGTGCTAAATTGGGTTAGCGGTATAGTCACTTGGCCCCGCAGTACATTGCACTCTGTACCTCAGCTTAAATTTCTTAAATTCTGGGCGCCGCATGGAAGATGCTGTCATAGCAGCGAGTTCGCACCGAACCAACAGAGTGCGCTTCAGTTCCACCAAAGCAAGATGCGGTCTCATGGTACTGCACATGTGGTACCGCATACATGCATGGACAGCCAAGAGTAAATGACCGCTTGATTTTCTAATGTAAAGGAGCGATGAGAGATGACCTTTCATACCCATGCTTAGTCTGCTAATCGTCTAAACAGTAATTTGCTCGTGGTTTAGAGTTCATTCCAAGCGTGAAGCCATTCACGGTGGTCGTGATCCTTGTCCTTGAGATGCGGTAGTCGGATTCGAAACCGACACCGCTGAGTTTCCTTTATCTTTCTAGTCATCCTCTTCCCCCTCATCATCCCCCTCCTCGTCTGGTTGATTGAGCCGCTGGATAGGAAGTCAGTACTCAAAGTTGTATCTAATGACTTGGCTATACTTACAATCCAGAGCTGAGCAGCCCCGGCGATGGTCTCTAGCGCTATAAGCTTTCTCTCCTCAAAGCTCCTCTCAGCTACTTCGCCAAATGAAGCCAAGGCAGGAGCTGGTCGTGTGGTAGGAGGAGGGGCCGCACCACTGCCGCAAGCTCGCAATTGTTGAGCTGCCCGTTGTGCGGCACCACGCCAGACCTCGTCCGGTTCTTCATCGGTGCCGCTGAGCTGCCGGTTCAGGTCCCAAAAGGCACGTACAGCAGCTTGGGCTTCAGTGGGAACCTAGAGATGCAGCGGGGTAAGTGGCCAGTTAGCTGACAGAGAGTAGATATGTCTCACCGGTCGACACGTGTGGCCGTTCTTGGCGCAATCCCAGCACGCAGCACCAGTATCTAATCAATGTATGTTAGCGCACTCAGCAGATGACCAGGGACAATCAAACCTACTGTCTTGAGAGGCGCATTCATGGCCGGGAGACTTGCTGGCTCGGGCGACGCATTGCCGGCATGGGAAATGACGGACTGAGCCGCGGGGAGGGATCTTCTTCGACTGCTTCTTCTTCTGCTCGGATGGGTAAGTTAGCATCCGTAGCTCCATATGAATGAGGTCTTGCAGATCGTACGTTAATTTTGGCCGCGGGTTTGCGGACGCTCTGTTGGATTAATCTTCTCCTCTTCACCTCAGCGTTCTGGCTGAGAGAGTCCCCATTCGCACCTGGAGTCTCGCTATCGATGTCGGGATTGACCGTGGGCATGACGCTGTTGCTGACCATGAGCTTTTCCACGGACAAAATGGTTTAAATGGGAAGGTGGAAAGGATCTAGGGTTCTGTAAATATTGGTCCTGCCCCTGGCTTGGTCGGGTTCTACCAATGAGTAAGGTGAGGCTAAGCCACTCGGGGCAAGTCACCGCTGCGGGCCAGTTGCCATGCCGCTGCGGACTAGTGCGTTTGACCACCCTGCACGCCCCCCTTTTCCAGTTTTCAGAACCCAGAATGTCGCCCACCTCCTTTTGCTTTTGCGGCTTCCCCAGTTCCGAAATGGCACGTCCTCGCAACTCAATTGATCAATACCGCGACTATGTCACCCATCTCTACCTCAACGGCGTTTCACGATGCAGGATTCAGTACAAACTTCGGAAGCATCATCATGTCATCGTCAATCTCAGCACAATCTCTCGCCGAATAGCGAGTTGGGACCTCCCACGCCAGCAAACCCGAACCCAAGAAAGTCCCGAGCTAATAGAGGCCATCCGCGACCTGATATTTCGTGTTGGGCTCAGTGAAAAGCAGACACTGAGCGTCCTACAGAGACGGGGCTGGCCGATCACCAAAGAAGGTTTGAAGCGAATCAGGCTTCACCCAGACCGCCGCTGGATGCGCAGAATCAACAGTGACGAAGAACGTCTTGCGTTGCTGGAGAAGACAGAGCAAGTCATCCTCGAGATGACACAACGATCCAACGCCATTTCCGGATATGGCAAGAGCCTTCTTCAGCCTTACCTTCGTCAGCAAAAGCAGCTCTGGGTACCAAGAGATCCTCTCTTTGCGATGTACAAAATCATGTTCCCGAATGAGGTCGAGATCCGGAAAAGGATGTTTCGGCGGAAAAAGGGGCAATTCCTTGTGCCGGGACCAAACTATCAGTGGTGCATTGACGGTCACGACAAGCTGAAGGCATACGGATTCGAGATATACGCCGCAATCGACGCCTACTCACGCAATATCATCTGGTTCTATGTTGGCCACTCCGCTACAACGGCTTTGAGTGTCCTGAAACAGTACTTAACCGCGTGTGACGCCTATGGCTTCCGGCCATGGTATCTGCAGGCAGACAAAGGCAGCGAAACCCCGCTTATCGCAGCAGCCCATTGGAACTTTGCTTTGGCCGCAGATGGGCGGGTAGAGTGGAATGGGCAAGTCTTCCAGCAAGGGAAGCGCCTGAAGGATTCCTACAAGGCGGCGTCGAGCACGAAGAATGTCAAGATTGAAAAGTGGTGGGAGAGCATGCTTCATGTCTCCTCCCGGCAGTGGGTAGACTACTTCGGTGAACTCGCCCGGGACGGGGACTTTAACGATGATATGTTGGAGGATCAGACAGCCAGATGGACTTCGACGCCACGAAGGCCTTGGATTCAAGCTTACTATGGAGAGGTATGGTTACGCTTGGTTTCTTGACAAGATCGATTGGAATACGCTTACCTTCCGCCAACCTTATGCACCTTACATGATGTTCAACAACCCATCGATGCAGAATGTGTATCGCGCTCGATACCACCAAGTGCGAGACGTACGAATCGACTTCATTCGAGTGAATAGGGCGTACCAGTGGATGCTTGAATTCAGTTCTATTCCAAAGTGCCTTGACCTCCTAGAAAATTACCTTCGAGAGCTGTGTCTGTGCGCCTTTCGCAAGGACGTTTTCTTCCACGTTAAGTCAGCTCTGAGGCCAGAGTGTCTTGAATCTGCGTTGTCAGGAGAGATTCCCCTGTGTTACGATAGTGTTAATAACGCCATGCTGAAGGATCACCAGCCCCTTCAGCTTGCACAGGGAAATCGACTGGCGGTAAAGGATACACCCCTTTCATCCGTCCCTCTTTCGGTGAACGAGGAGACCCCTGTCGGGTGGAAGGAGGTACCCCTACATTTCTATGGATTCATTCACTTTCGATGAAAGTGGACGTTTCGCATTGTTATTGGCTGATAATCCCTGTACTTACCCCGCATTTCACTTTCACCTGAAAGAGGGTTCTCAATATATGTGCTCCAAGCAAAGTTTCAGCTAAAGTGGTGATCTCGCTATTTCATTGGTCGACTTTGCTTTTTTCCTTTGAAGAGTTTCGACTTACTGTACTAATGTTCATCGAAATCGAGCCGCATTATTCAAATTTCGTCCGTGCCACCCTTGCAATCTCCCGGCGTTTTTCCGAAAAATCACTTCTAGATTCTAAACTTTTTGTCCGTGCTAACACAAATCCCTAATCGTCAAATGTTAAGATCGACTGGAAAATCAGATCTTCCAATCCACTTCACAGGGGGTCGAGTGGTTCCAAATCTACCAATCAGAACCTGATTAGTGTACTCAATTCCCCGTCCCTACCCGTAGCGTGATGGCCAACGAAAGCTAATAAAAAGCACGCGTAAATTGGAGAGTGTAGCGTTTCTGAGAATACAGGATGCTCAATTAAAAAGTACTCACCTACAAAATGATGCATAACGTGTTGTATACAGGGCCAACGCGCCGAAAAGAAAAAAAGAGAGAAGGGGCGAAAAAAGGGCTGAGAATTCGAGAGAGATATCATCAGACGCAGTTACGGCCTCTCTGCCTCAGGCAAAATATAGGCGTTATTTCTGTTTACCCTTTTGAGGTGTGACAGCCAACAGCAACGTTGTCATGTGACTTATGACCATTGATTGTTGGTTGGCGTTTCAATTTTGACGCGTCTCGAGCTTTTTAATTGAACATCCTACGATAACAATCGACATCCCTCTTCATTCCTGATCGCGCGCTACGTTGATCTTACGTAAAAACAAGACTGTATTTTACTGTGCTAACACGCCGCCACAGCGCGACCGTAGAGCCGTAGCTGGACGGCTAGCTATCACCTCAGACGGTTGTTGAACTCCCAAGACTCAGCAGCCACGCTTACCGACCTACGTCCTCGAACGCTCCTCGGAATGGCAGCTACAGAATTTCTGCAACAATTTGAAAAGATCGAAGAGGTAGTTGCTCGATATGCTTTCAAGCTATCAAGCGTCAGATCTCCGGCTGAAATTTACAAAGAGAAGACGGTCGAAATCCGGGGGCGCATCGCTCAATTATGGACAAGCGTGGAACTAGCCCCAGCGCCAGAAAAATCAAGCCTCCAAGACGGTATCGTGAAGTTAGGGGGGCAATTAAAAGAGCTGGAAATAAAATACGAGGCTGGTGTGCAGGACGAGGAGAGGGTGTATAACCGGGCGTTACAAGAAATTGCAGACGCGCTCCGCTACGAACTCTTGGAAATTATTGGGCCTGCAAAAATAGAGTCGTATCTACGAAGCATCTCGAGCGAGAATTCTGACCGGCAAGTCTCAAACAATGCAGTCGTTACTTGTCAGCCACACGATGCAACTCTCCAAGCGATCGGCGCCAAAGAGGCATGCGTACCTAAAGGAATGCCCGAAAACAGGCACACAAGTCCGACCACTCCCTTAAGCGTAAGCGCCCGATCCATCGCCCATATTCATGCTTGCCTACTGACTGTCATAGTACAAACGAAGGAGAACATCGCCAGAATCCATGGGAAGGAAACGACGTCAGGTTGAGAAAGATAACCCTCGTACCAAACTCAGCAATTCTCTTGTCTCTTGTCCAGCTGTGAGGTCTTCGCGAAGACGAACACGGCATAGCCACAGGCGACATGGCGACAAGAGATCTACCACGGACGAAGACTTTGAGGGTACCATCCAGGACCACCTAATGGATAACCCCACCTAATGGATAACCAAAATTTCGCTCCGCCCACACAAAATCCAAATTTTGATGCGTACACAAAACACCAGGTCGTCAATGAAAAGGCGAAGATTTGGAGAGAAACCCTATAAAATTGATCACTTTTTACTCTCTGCGTGGTTTTTTGACCTCCCGACCGCTCCGTGTGCGCTGGCAGTGCTTTGTTACGACCCTAAAGTCGTCACTTTCGTCCTCTGACCTGACACCCACCTCAATCACCGACTCATCCTTCTCGTCCACATCCACCTCTATTTCTGCCTTTTTTGAGTCAGGAAGAGCTTCTCCAGCCGTTAGAGTCTCCGCCAGAGCCATGAATCGTCGGTTCGGGTTCGGTACCGCCTTTCTTTTCTTCCCTCGCCGCACCTGGGCCATCTGCTCCTCGAGTCCAGTAATCCGCGCATTCTGAACGGCCACCTTCATCTCTAAAGCTTCCAACCCCTTTGCGATCTTACTGTACTTCCGCCTGGTCGGACGACTTCGGTGTTTGGCCAAATCTCGAACCTGGCGGCTCGTTTTCGGCGTATCATCTGAGTGCAGTTGGGGAGGGCTAGGCGTCTTGAATCGTTCCGGCACTTTTTCTTTGTCCGGTTGAATTTCCGGATGTGTTAGAGCTTTGTGACGATTTATTGGCCAATTTCCAGTAAACCTCCAGCCGGATAAGATAATATCTTTCCTCATGCCCGCCTCCCTGGCTTTCGCGTATGCCCGGATAAAGTTGACTTTGTCAACCGGCGCAGAATCGGTCAAACTAGCCAGCTTTTGGAGTTCTTTCCGGTACGCACCTTTGATGACATTAAAAATTCCATTATCTAATGGCTGCAGACCATGGGAACAATGTGCTGGTAAGTAACAGCAGTAGACGTTGTTCAGAAAGCACGTAGCCATCCACTCATCCTGGATGCTCGTCAGCGATCTTATAGCGGGACACTCTGCGGTGAATACCCCAAGAGTCTCACCTGTGCATGGCTTCCGTGACCGTCAAGGATAATGAGTCTCGCATCTGATGCATCACGAGGCTCTGTTTGGGGCAAATAGACGTCTTTCAACCACTCGAGAGCTATGTGGTTGTCGGTCCAGCCGTTCGGTGATGTGATGTAGTGCCAGTCCGCTATCAATTCGAATTCGTTAAGAAACCACTGCTTCTGTAGCTCTTTTCCTTTAAAGATAATCCCGGGTTTTAAAGCGCGACCAGTTGCGGTGACGGCCTCAATAAACGAGGTCCAGGTGCGCGACTGAACGCCCTTCAACAACGCCTTCTTCTTCGGGTCAGAGCTCCCGATTACGAGGCTGTCCAGGCCTCATGGACAATCAATTAGCTATGCCCTATAAAAACCCATAGAGTACTTGTAGAAGACTTACCGAAACCCACCATTATGCCGCCCTCGTCCACGTTAACCGTGTTCTCAGGCTTGATCCAGCCGTACTCATCCTCCCGGATATCGAAGTACCAATTGACCGCCTTCGGGGTAAATCCATCAAACCTGGCGGCTTCCTGACGTTTTCCAAGCTTGGTAGATAGTTCTAGGTGACGTTTGACGAATCTCGTAGTCCAGTGCTTACCCAGAGGCTTGTTATCGCCTTGTTGTTTGAGGATGGCCTCGACGCAGGCGCGGAGTTGGCTGTGCGAGGGAGCATATCCCAGAGACTCTTGTCGCAGCACCCAACGAATAAGCGTCTCCTCCTGGCTCTTTGGAATACGCTGGTGGGCCTGGATACGTTCATTCCTGCTCGCTTGACCGGAAAGTCTTCCAGAAAGGGTCGACTGAGGCACTCCACGTTTCTGAGCCGCCCCATTCTGTGAGAGGCCTCTATCAGTGGTATCTAATATAGCCTCAGCTACGTCATCTTCGGTATAATTACGGCGAACCATTGCGGAGGGAGTTCCGTCGATTAAATTAGGTGAAAATTCGGCTTGAGTGGATGGAGTCGCCTAGGGTACATGAGGTGAAATGCGAAAAATTTCAAAGGGCCAGAGGACCAGGACAAGAGCCGGAGCGAGGAAAATTTAAGCCGATATGAAAATTCTATGGAAAAAACAATATAGTACTGGTCTTAGTTTGCAATTACCTTAATTGCTGGTCGAATATGGTGCGATTGAAAATTTGGATTTTGTATGGGAGGAACGAAATTTTGGTTATCCATTAGGTGGGGTTATCCATTAGGTGGTCCTGGATGGTATCACAAACCCGGATGCCGGCAGCATCTATCTCGCATTTTGGGAAAAGTCCAAGGACTGGTTCGCTGTACTCCTACTTCCGATGCAAGATCTCGAAAGTGTCGGCATTCCGGGTTCGATAGAAAGTCTTGGCTTAGCAGAGGTTCTCCCTAGGTGCTACTGCGATAAGCAAGATGGCTTATCCTGGGCGGAGGGATTTAACGACGGCGAGCCTCTGGTCATGGAGCGAGAGTTCCCCGTAATGTACTTTGATGGCCAAGACTTTCCCGCCAAGAGCGCCGTCGGCTGGGTCTCTGCAAGAGATTTGAGGCAGTTCGATGCGAACAACAAGAACTCACTTGTTCCTCACATACGGTCGGTTCGCAAGTTTCTTAAGACTCGGGCAGAAAAACGTTCGCCAGAACGAGAAGTAGACAGGTCAAAGTCTGAGGCACCTGACGCGACAGAACAGTCATCAATAGAGGCCAACAGCTATCCGCCCACGCCTCTGAAAGGTAATTTGGTAATATACTCCCTTGATGAACTGGATCGCTTACTATGTACAGTTCCTCTTCAACATCGCAGTCCTCAGATGGCAGCTCCTGACCAGGATCAAGAGGAACCCAGTTCTCTACCCGCAACTCAACCAGTATTACCTTTAGATCACGTCGCCCTGCATGACCCCCCCATTCAACAACAATCGTTACCCGATCTTCGTAGCGATGAGGGACAACAGCATCGACTGAACCTGGAAAACATTGCGACATCTTCTCATGGGCCGGGACGACAGCTTGATGAACCTTGTGACATCTTTGAGCCTATAAATACTGCCGCACTTTCAAATACGACACAAGAAGTTTGTCAGGACGCTGGTTTGTTAAGACCACATTGCAATGAGAGAGCAAACAGGACCGCTACCCCTGAGAAAAATATGGGAGCTGGGTTATTTGGATTATCTGTGTCAGAGCAAGCCTCTGGCCTTGCTATATGCCCACCGCCTCCGCCTTCAAGAGAGTTGCTTCCTATGAACCTAATGTCAAATCCACGTAAAACGCCAGAAATCTATGCAACAGAGCCTTTTCCATCAAGTCCATCTATCCCACACGCTTCATCAACAGACTCTGCGCAACCGGCCCTGCTCTACGCTCTGGAGCAACATGCCCAAGCCGAGATGGGTCGTCCTCACAGCAATCGACCCATCATCGATGCTGCAAATTCAACAACAGAAGAGCGACAACAAGCACAACAAGCTCCAAGCGTGGTTCAGAGCAACAATGACGCATCAGACGCCGTTGGCGGTATGCCATGTAATGCGGACCACCCACGTCTAAGTCAAATAAGAGCTCCGTATAACTTCGAAGCCTCCAGAACTACTATTGTATTGCCACCGATCAGCTCCATGCTTAAGCAGGGAGTGAACAGTCCTCCGTCGCACGAACCTCCCGGTCAAACGCCAACTCTAAATAATCAGCCGTCTTCTTTTCCCGCTCGATTGTCCCAGTTAGCCGTCAATGCACCATCACCGCCGTCACTATCACCGTCACTGTGTACTCGACCATTGACGACCAAACTTGCCAGTAAATCACCAGATGTTCGAGCATCGTTCAATCAAATATCAACTGCCCAATATGCACCTGCTCTTCCCGCTCAGGTCCAGAGCGATGACTCGTTCCATACTCGAGGGTCATCTGCCAGCATAGCAACTGAGCAGCGTCGCTTAAACAGCCCTGGAGCACCAACATCTGACTCACATGATGGATGTAATGCACAGACTTCCTGCGAGCTCGAAGTCACTCGCCCAAAGGGTGACTGGTACAAGAAACTTCCTGAGGATCTGATCGCATGTTTAGAAAAGTATCAGCATGATAACAACCTCAGTCTTGGAATCGATGGGCTACGGATACAGCCTGGCAATTACGTATGTCCTTTCTGTATTGAGTCTAAGAGGAAGCTCTATAAGCGCCCTAGTCATTTCTCAAACCACTTAGCAAGCCACTGGGCTGCTCTCAAGAAGAAGCATTGAAAAGGTGGCCGATATTTGTATTCACTTCAACTGTGATATTGGGTTATTGTGTTTCTTAGCGATAGAAGATTGACAGGAAGAGAAGGATCGATGTAGGTTACGAGGTACCCTTAAGAAGCGCCCCATATGATCCAGGAAGGGTTCGGCAAACTAGGGAACAATTACACCAGGACAGATCCGATGGCGGTCCGACACCTGAATCAGGCCTACAGCTGTTTGATCGACTGCTTGGGTGATCCGCTATGTGATATGATGCTTCTACTGGCATTGACATTCGGTGCTTGCACGGTGACGCCGCACATCGACGAGCGGGGAAGCGAATTCTATCCGGCCAGGAAAAGGAAGGAATCAGATATACTGGCGGCAACGATGGTTATACGAATGCTCTGGTTCATGATGAAAGAAGCATTTCTATGGGAGGATACTGATGAGAAAGTGTTATCCGTCGCTAAGATGATGCAAGAGATTTGGTAAGTAGAGCCAGTGTGGAGCAAGCCAGAATGAACCAGCTGACCGTTTTCTCTTATATTTATCACGCTGTAGAGAACATAAATTTCAACAATCATGGGTTGCTGAAGTTTGGGTGGGTGGAATACAAGACGAACACTGGTAACCGTCATCAGACGCCGCAAACAACAGAGATGCAGCTCAGGTCCATGGAGGAGCTCTATGAGGACCGCAAGTGCTTAATTTCTGCCATGAAGAATGCGGAAAGGTTCATATCCTTGGTGTTTGGAAGTGACGATGAGGTTTGGATGGCTCGGTGTTACTCGATCATTCGAGATAGACGTCTAGCGTGCACGGACCAGAACATGTGCATTGCGACGCGAAATTAAACTCCCCCATCGGAACGCAGTTCCTGCGAACGCACTAGCCTGTTTGGGACTTAGCACTCAAGCCTCTAGCTAACCAGGGTTTAGCGGTCAACTCAAGGGCAAAGAGCCGTTTCATTTCTGCTGACGTGCTGACTAACTCTGGCGGATCAAAGATTTGCCGTCGATTGTGGTCTAGTCGCTGGCCAGAAACGCGACTTTCGCTCTTGTCTTTCTGAACGTCTCCCATCCGCCATGAGAAATGAATCGCAGTCCAAGGCCATTGAGAACAACCCTATTGGAAATGGTCTTGATACCTTTCGTGCGTCTTTCGATTCGATATGTAAAGGCGCGGGTTTCTCCTCCACTCCTGATGCTCTAGAAGAACTTGAACAAGAAGGTGTGGCGACCAAACTTTGTTGCAGCACTGCTCTAACTAGCCTATAGATCTTCGAAATCTCACGCTCCCTCTCCTTTTCACTCTACAAAGCCATACAGCCTCGGGTCTGCTCCCCACAAATAACGGTCGTGGCACCCTCCGAAGCGATCTCCTCAGACTCATTTCCGCTGCCGCCTCCGACGACTTTGACTTCGACCGCGTCAAACCTCTCCTGAAATCAGCCCTCGCTAGCGAACCCGATGCCCTTATCTGGGATCGAGCCTATGACGTTGTCGTCGAGTCTACCCCGCCTCCCCGACCGATAGCTTCTTCCCTCCAACAGACCCCATGGCTGCGCAATACAAGCAGCTTCGCAAACTCGTCCGAACATCGCAAATACGTAGACGACGTGCTGAAAGAGGAACTTGGGTCTATGTATGTCGGGCTCCGTCGCTTTCATGACGCATACTTTGGAGGTGTGGCCGGCCTTGACGCAGCCTCCCAGGCGTTCTTTGACCAGTGCGTCGAAGGCAGCGATCCACTCTTTGCGGACGGTTGGAAGGGATGGCCCGAGAACGCGAACCAGGACGACGTGCTGAGCTGGTTTGCCGACTTCAGCGACAAGCTAACGGAATTCGTAGACAGCCACGGGTCAATCTCGACGCATCAACACCGACGACGGCCTCTTGCCCAGCCCAACAAGCCAATACAAGGTTCCACCGGAGAGCGCAAGCTGGACGTCGGTTTCGTCAAGGATGCGAAGGCTGGGAAAGACTCGCGGTGCCACTGGTCGCAGATCTTGGTGCCTGGAGAGCTGAAGAGCAACCCATCCGCCGACAAGGCCTCGATGGCGTGGCTTGATCTGGGGAGGTACGCGAGGGAGGTGCTGGCTGCGCAGAATGACCGTCGCTTCGTCTTGGGCTTTACCATCTGCGGGTCCCTCATGAGGGTATGGGCATTTGACCGGCTTGGGGGCATCGCATCGGAGCAGTTCGACATTAACAAAGATGGGCGTCAGTTTGTGTCCACGATACTTGGCTTTCTCTGGATGAACGAGGAGCAGCTAGGATTCGACCCGACGATTATGACGGCAAACGGGGAGCGCTTCATCGAGGTTAATCGGAATGGTTCGACAGAGCGGATCATCATCGACGAGGCAATGCAGCGGGCGCCTTGCATAGCTGGTCGAGCGACGACATGTTGGAAAGCCCACCCCGAAGGACAGCCAGAAATGCTGCTTGTCATTAAGGATTCGTGGCAATATCCGGAACGAGATGAAGAAGGCGAACTGCTACGCGAGGCGACAAACAAGGGTGTCGTTAACGTGGCCCGGTACTATCACCATGAGACGGTCCAAATTCACGAGGAAGATGATGACATCCGGAATAATGTTCGGAGAGGGCTGGACATGACGCAAGCTGCAAACTACCGTCCGGGACGGCCAATGCGGCGGAACAACATCGCATCAGGCACATCAAGAGAGGGTCGCAGCAGCGCCAGTGCCAGCAGAAAGCGGTCATCTAGCCAAGTTGGCGCTCCTCTTCCTTCTAGCAAGCGATCTTGTTCCGTGTCTTCAACGAAGGCCGCCAGTTCACTACCAAATCGGGTACATCGGCGTGTCATTCTCCGAGACTACGGGATGCCTATCTACAAGGCGAGCTCTCGGTCGGCTCTACTTGCTGCGTTCGAGCGGTGCATCGAAGGACATGAGTCTTTGCATAAGGCAGGCTTCCTTCACAGAGACATCTCGGTCAACAATCTCATGATCAACGAGGATGATGATAACCCCTCCTGGCCTTCCTTCTTGATTGACCTTGACCTGGCTATCAAAGAGTCGCGAGAGGCTGCCTCAGGAGCAAAGGGGAAGACCGGAACACGGGCTTTCATGGCAATTGGGGCGCTCCTGGGTGAGCAACATTCTTTTATGCATGATCTCGAGTCATTCTTCTGGGTGCTATTCTGGATATGCATCCACTACAATGGGGCAGACGAGGCCAGAGTCGTTCTAGAATTTGATAAGTGGAATTATGTTGATACGGGAGAATTGGCAAACTTGAAGAAAGGGCAAGTTTCCCACGAAGGTGACTTCATCAAAACCGCGGAGGAGAATTTCACTTCCTATTATCAGCCATTGGTACCTTGGGTCAATAGGTTACGGAAAGTAGTTTTTCCAAATGGTGGGAGGTGGGAGAGAGAGGACACAGGACAATATGCTCGGGTGAAGGAGATCCTTCAGGAGGCGGGACGGGACCCAATGGTATTGGGTGGACGGACAGCATTGTAGGCTTGTGGCGGAGGGATATGGTGGCCATGTACACCAAGAAGAGCACTGTATTAGCATATTCTTAAGCAAATACACATATTTAGACTGGCGGGCAATGAGGACGTTTTCCCCTACATGTCCAGTCATAGGTATCATTTCTCCTTTTTACATGTCCAATCCCATAATCCTAAGGTTTTCCAGCGAATCCGCCTCGCAACTAGAATAGGTTAGAAGTGTGCCTCTCGACAACAAAACGATTTAAATATCGAGGGTAGGACTTGAATTGATTAATCCATTGCTACTATGACTTATGCTCTAATCTTGTCTTTTTGTGATAGCTGAGAAAATGGTCTGTCGAAATAGTATTCTACTCTCGCTGTTAAGACAATCTTGTAAATGAGCAGGTCATTGTTGGGCAGGATCACTCTGTTCGCAGTCGTGGTAATAATTCGACAAATTACATCAATATGCAGTTTCTCCTGTCCAAACGATAAGATATGGATCTGCCGCGAGAGGCGAGACAGGAGTGGTTGGCATAAAACAGCAGCTATGAACAATTTAGAAGACTACAACCGCCTTATAGAAAGGCTTGAACCGAAAAAGGGATGGCGGGCAAGATTTCTTTCGATGTGTTTCGATTGAACTAAGTGCCAGGCAATGTGCTCAAGCAAAATATCCGTTTATCTGATAAAATTGTCCATTGGCCTGGTAAGTTCCACTGAAATATCCGGCATCTCTTACAAACTGCGTAGTAATGTTCCTATAACTGTTAGATAAACCGCACTAAGAATCAGAACGACATACTCAGTAGCATCCTAGGCAGCATAGGTCGGAGAATATGTTATGTTATGTTATGTATATTTTTCGTCCGGGGGGCCGTAGGCCCCGAAAGTCCCCTACTGGGGCACAGGACGTGCTGAGCTAGAGAAATTGGGACCTATCTACACACTAATTACAGAATACTATGACTTCCTCTCGAAATCCAATTCTGCAGACGCGTCGATAGACCACACACTATCCAGCATATCAACGGCACAAATGGCGCATCTTATCGAGCCTGTTACCCGTCAGCGGGATGATCAGGCGCGGCTGATGAACGACAGCCGCAAGGTAAGCCCGTTGTTAGGCGATCGTGAGCCTCTGGGCGCGGTAGCCTCAGGGCTGCCTTCAAGTGGTCACGGTCAGATAGAGGGCGTGCTAGCGCCCTTCATCTGGCCGAGAACAGGTAAGAGAGGAAGAAAAGGTAACAAAAGAAATGTGTGGAAGATAGAGAGGGAAGGAGAGTCGCGAGTGCTTCTCAAGTCATCGTCGCCTACTAACGAGGGCAAATCTTTCCAAAGAACGCGCTGTCCTTGGACAGGTCGATAAAATTGGTGAAGTCTCTTCCTATTGCAAGGTTCACTGCCGTATTCGGTGAGGGTGCAAGCCTCATCCGATAACGCAGCGGTACTTTTCTGCAGTAGAAGATGTGATCCGGTGCTTTGCGTCGGCCACATGAGCAGACCAGGCGTGCGTCGTTGTGGTCGAATCTCTCGTGATACGCAGCAAAGTCCCCATGGAGGGATCTCGCTGCCAGCAGATGGTGCAAGGCTGCGCGCGGGAGCGAGAGCTCCGGCGGGCAGCCTGTGGTCGCCTTGAGATCAAGTCTCTTGTACTGCTCAGGAGCGGAGGTAGACCACCATGCTTCGAATGCTTCTTTCGGTTGTTGTCTTGCAATCCTTCGGAGGTAAGCCAGTGTCGGTTGAGCACCTTCGGGCTCGGGTAGCGACGATGCTGCTTTTGCCAGTTTGTCGGCCTGTTCGTTGCCGGGGATGTTAGTGTGTCCTGGCACCCAACGAACCTGTGTGGCTCCATGCGATGCCGCTAAAGCCTGGAACTCGAGGAAGACGTCTTGAGAGGAGTCGGATGGAGTACCTCGCAGGCATGTGGCAGCCGCGAGGTTGTCTAGGCAGATGAATATGTTTTGGGACGCTGATTCTCGCAGGTTCAGGGCGGCTTTTAAGCCCTCTAATGCTCCAGTGGCTTCAGCGTCGAAGACCTCAGCAGGCCCAAGGCGACCTGATCCGTCAAAGATGGGAATATTGTCCTGATGAATGGTGAAGCCGTAGCTGGCAACGCGTTCCGCGGACAAAGAGCCATCCGAGTATACGACCAAGGTGAGCGGGTCGAGAGACTCGACCCAGCGGGAAAAGGCGTCAGCCGATTTCTCTTTAGACGCTGTCTGCAGTGGAGGCATCTGTTCTTGATGGAAGCATCGATAGACGAGTTTCGGCCGCGTGCAGGGTGCAAAGAGTTCGTTTGCACGTCGAAGGCGCGTCCTGAAGCTGCTCTCTGCCGGTATTTGATATCTTCGTTTGATGAGGTCGTGGTAAGTAGGCTGTCGGGGCGGGCGCGTTCGGATCGCCAGAGGATGAGCCTCATCCAGCGATTTGAGTCGTGCGGAGAACCTAAGTCGCCTCGCGTCAAGCAATTGATCCACTGGTGGTATCCCGCTTTCTCTGTGGAGGACGGTGATGGGTGTCGTCTTCCAGACGGGAAGAATGGCCTTCATAGCCTGTTTCATGGCTTTTGTCATTATTTGCACGAGATGCTGGTTACTCGATGGTAGATCTTTCGTAGGATGGGTCCACCGCGGCCTGGTCTTGCCCGGGTACCACGCCTCTGAGCCGTGGAGCAGCACTGGCTCGACACATGCTCTGACGGCGCCTCGCACGGCGCTCGGTAGAGGGCCGTGTACCGTGTTGGTGAGCCCCCGCAAATGATAAGCCACTGCCTTTGCTTTGGCCGCCCACTTTTCGACATGAAGTCGGAAAGATAGTCTGCTATCCAACCAGATACCAAGCCAGCGTAGAGCTGGTTCAGGGTATTTCTCGACATCGCCGTGGCGTACTGCCGGCGCAGTCCTGAGTTTGCTGCGGGAGAAGTGCATGACTTCGGTCTTCTTCGTGTCGAAGGACACGCCATTCTCCGCGCCCCATTGCACCATCTCGGCGATGGAACTAGATGCCATGGCAGAAGTCTCGTCTACTGTGTCGCCTATGGACAGGATGGCCGTGTCGTCTGCATAGCCGAAGCGACCCTGAGGGTTCCCTAATCGATAGATTGGCTCAGTGTAAAGCAGAAAGAGGATTGGCGATACCGGCGACCCCTGAGGGAGGCCGCACTGAAGGGGAGAAGAGGGCGTGACTGTGTCTTGGTATCTGACACGCGCCGACCGGCCGCCCATGAAGGAGCCGGCCCAGCGAGCCAGATGATTAGGCCAGCCTTGCTCACGAAGACGCAGGACGAGCCTGTTGCGCATGACGGTGTCGAAAGCACCTTGGACGTCCATTGTGACTAGAGTCGCCACCTTCTTGCGTGCAAACGCTTCTTCAATATCATGGACCAGAGCAGTTACCAAGTCTGTTGCCGACCTCTTGGGGAGCGCCCCAGCTTGCTGCGGATGAAGGACGCTGTAGTGAACGGCTGCCCAGGCTAGGCGGCGCGCGATCAGTCGTTCTAGTCCCTTACCGAGACAGGAGAGCAGTGAGATGGGTCGCCATGCTCGTGGCTCTGTGAGGTCTCTCCGTCCCGGTTTCGCGATCATGACCACCTCCGCCTCCTTGAATGGTTTTGGATGATGGCCTATGGTAAGGCATCTTTCGAAGAGACGACGGACGTGTGTACCGATGGTATGCCATACTGCTTCAAGAAGTTTGACTGTGATGTTGTCTGACCCTGGGGATGTATTGCCTGTGTGACAAGTCGCATATTGCGCCTCCTCCAGAGAGATTTCGGGAGAGAATGGGATCGATCTAGGTGGGAATACTGGCGTCCATGCGTTTGCGATGTCGTCCTCCGCAGTTCTTCGTTCAAGCGTGGCCTGTCGGAGTGCGTTGGCTTTATCCATCTGGCTTTCGTACACGACGTTATCGACCTGTAGAGGTGGTGGCTGGAAGGCTCCTGGGGACTTTAGCCACCGGACAGCTTTGAAAACATCACTACTGCTGGAGAAGCCATCGATGAGGTTGCGCCAATAGCGCCTCTTGGCCCGACGGACCACACGATGAAAGCCTCTTTTGGCGATCTGAACGTCCTGGTTGAAGCCGAGCAGGTAGCTTCTTCTGATGGCTCGAAAAGCAGCCGCGGCGTCGGCGCACTCCTCCGTCCACCAGGGAGCCGGACGTCCGCCTTTCCGTGCGGGCCTCCCAGACGCTTTTGCTGCTGATGTTAGTAGACTCACAAGTGAAGAGGCGAGCTCGTCCAGCTCCTCGGGGGTCGAATCTGTCAGGGGTATTCCTGTAGCGCCAAGCTCTACGATCTCGACGAATCGTTTAAGCTCGTCTTCCGTCGTCACTCGAATCTTGCCTGGCTGCACCGGAGTCGATCTGACGTCTGGGAAAGTCAGGCTGAGCGTGAAGTGGTCAGAGCTGGTGGCGAGATGGTCCTCGACGATAGCTTCAGCAAGTGGTAGGTTAGTAAAGGCAAGATCGATTGTGTTGCCGTACGGGTTTGTTGGGATATCTAAAGTGTTGAGAAGGCTGAGGTCATTCTCAGACGCCCATCCTGCTATCTCTTGGCCCCGGTTCGTAGTTTGGCCTGTTTGCCAGCTACGATGTCTGGCATTGAAATCGCCAGCTACGAGGCAACGTTCCGGGACAGACCATTGAAATAGCGTGTCTAGGGCGTCCCTCTCGTCATTCTGACGATAGAAGTTGACTATGGTCATGCCGTTGATCGCGAGCCAGAGAATGTCTCGGGTCTGGAAGGGCCGAATTTGGTCGGCAAGGAGTCTGGGGTCTCGCCGGACATATGTCATCACTCTAGGCCGAGTATCGTTGCTATTCCACATGTCGACCGGCGTGAATGTGTCGTATGCAGGGTGAGTCTTGGTTAGACAGCGGGTCTCTGTGTGAGCCGTCCACGGCTCTTGCAAGAGCACAACGTCATATCGTTCCGAGTCGGCCAGCGCCAGGGCGCAGTCGTGGGCCGGAGGGATCTTGCCGACGTTGGCCTGGAAGATCTTGAGCGGCTTCCTGTCGTTCTTTCGTGTTTGAGAATATCTATTCCCGGTCATGAGGACGAGTGATGAGTACGATTCGGCGCTTTCGCGGTGAGCCTGGTCTGGGCTGTTCGGGTTCTTCCTCTGCTTCATAGCCAGCATGAGGGGTCGTGGCCACCATGATGCACGAGGGTGCTCCTGATACAGCTGGGCTGGGAGCACGATGGTTAGGCTGTTCTTGTGATGTGACATCCACGCTTCGTCGCTCAGCCATGCCCTGCTGCGTTTCCTGATGCGATTCCAGATGCCGTTCTCGATGTCGTTGTCGGTATGTCTCCGCACCTACGGTCCGGACATGCTTTCGTTGCTCTTTAGTGAGTCGGCGGAGCACGCCGTGCACTGTCTTTGGCCGAGCTGGGCACCTACGGAAGTTGGCCTGGTGGGGGCCTAAGCAGTTGATGCACTGTTCTCGTGCGATGCAATCGTCTACAAGATGGTTAGTCTCACCACAGCGTCGGCAAACTGGCTGTCTGTGACAGTTGCGGGCAAAATGGTGGCCCCAGCACTTCTCACATTGTCTAGGTCGGTCGGTTTTGTCAACAAGTCTAGCTGCGCTACTGCCGAAAAGAGACCAGAATCTTTTTGTGGGCTTCAGAAAGGACACGAGCAGGGCCTTGGTCAAGGGGTTATCCGAGAATTGTCTTCCGGTACGTACATCAATGGGCTTGATCCCAGTCTGGATTTCTATCTCGTCGCTAACGACGCTGTCACTATCCACCTCATTACCGTAAAAGTCAGTCAGCCTTGCGGGAACGTCTGAGACCACATAGGTGAACCATTCCTTGTTCGTTTCTACTGCTGTAGCTCCCAGTTCAGTGGCCCACTCAGCTTGCTTTTCTACCAGAAAGTCGCGTGTTGCCGAGTCGGCAGCCAGAACGGCCCATCCCGATCTGACCTGGAACACCTGCCGGATCTTGTCTGAGACAGCGCCGAGCTTCTCCCGAATCAGAGTCCGGATGGCATAGCTACTGTGGGCCCTGGCCGGAGCTCCGGCTTCTAGACGGATAAAGACACGGAGATCTTGTCGGGGTGGGGCGATAGTCGTCTGTTGCCCTTGGCGATGAGGTGGATCTGTTTGTCGGCGTCCATGTTGTTGTTGTTGTTGTTGTCTGTGGGTCAGACGGTCATGGTCAGTGGGAGGCGCGGCAGCAGCGACGCTGCTGTATGTAGGCTTTGGGGGGTACGGATTGCAGCCTGTTGGGCTCTTAGGAGATAGGGTAAGCTGTTTTTAGGTAGCACAGTATAGTGAGACACTCGCTTGTCTGAGACACTCGCTTATCATGTACGTTACACGTACGTACGTACGTACTGTATTTTGGGTAGCTGTACGTACGTACAACTTTTCTATACGTACAAAATTGTACCATACAATTTCCTCCTTCCTTTTTAGGCAATAGTTGAGTACGAGCATTCATACGGTCCTGGTCTCCTGTCACTCTAGTCTCCAACCACTAAGTCCACTTTAGTACCAACCCCAATATATCACCTGTCGACTGCAAGACACCTTCCCACTCGAAATCTCCATTGACAGAGGCCATCACACCATCCATCCAGACCTTCTTGCCCTGCGCATTCACAAACAACTCGAGGTACGAATCTTCAAGTTCCAGCCAGTCCTTCTCCTCAAGATCCGCCCAGCGCTTTTTATGCGCGTACTTCTGATCCTTAAGGCGATCTAATACGCGATCATTCATAAAAATGAAGGCCTGCATGTCCGCGTGCATGGGCGTAAGGCGATTTCGAGCTTTCGTGTGTATGAAACTGATAGCAGAGAAACTTCGTTCTGAAGGTACGGAGTTTGCAAGCGTGTTCATTACCTTCGCAGCTACTCTAGCCAGAATCGAGCCCTGGTTGAGGAGGCACTGCCACGCCATTGCTGGCCTGAAGCCATCGTCGTATACAGCGCTGTGCTTATTGAATAAGCCGTCTGGGCCGCCTGTACGCATTCGGAAGTGTGTGAATTCGAAGAGGGCACGGTGATACTCGTCGTCATTTTCCAGCTGTTTCTGCAAATATTCTTGTACGCGTGCAAAGATGCTAGGCGGAAGTTTCGAGTTTGGACCTGTTGTATCAGGCCGGAGGGCATCAGCGATCCAATGTATATCGTACGTTTGCTTATCAAGCCTAGCTTTGAATATAGCGTCAATATCGTCCCACGGAATATCAGGAAACTGATCAGCTTCTCCCATCTCAGCCCATTTGCTTTTGATTTGCAGCCAGCGACTTACAACGTTTGCCCCATCAGCCTCAGAAACGTGTTGAAAGTCGTTCACCGGTTTCAGCACGGCGATCGCAGCCTCGAGTTCTAGCCAGAAGCTGTTGTCTTTGATGATCCGAACCGCTTCGGGCAGGAGAACGGGGCAATCTTGAGATCGCAACTCATCCCGTACATCTTTTCGAACAGACCAGTCTCTGGCAGGATCTCGAGAACGGAGGAGGGAGAAGAAAGAATTGTACTAGGAACCCCAGCGCGTAATTATACTGTTCGGAACGAGCAGGTTAGCATATCGATTTCTCTCTCAGTCGCAGCTAACAATTCACCGGTACCTTCTGATCAGCGCGCGAGTTACTCCGTTCAACCTTGTGCGCTGGCACATTCTCAATCTTTGTAATTGTAATTTAGACCGTGAGAAGAACACGAGCAGGGTGCTGACGTTGTTAAAGAGATCCTCGAAGAAGGGAAGAAGAAGAATATCTTTAATCAGAAGCTGAAGGCCGTGAGAATCGCACAGAGAGAAGTTGATGTGTGAGGGCTCTGGGAATCCCCCTAGCAGGTCGTGTACAGAGCGCATCGTATTTTCGGCATCCGTACAGATAGAATTTATCCTGGAGAGATCAACCGCACCCAGTTCTCTGCCGTGTGCTGTTCGTCTCCCGTGTCAAGTGTTTTCCAGTAGAAGGCCGGGCCGTCTGGTACCTGTACCGAGATATTAACGATCCTGTGGCCCGAGACATTATCGGAGGCGTCAAATATGATGTTGAACCATTCCGAGCTGGTAATACGTTTGAAAACCTCCTCATAGATTTCCTGATAGAAGTCGGGAAGAATTCTTGTGATAACGGCGCGACTGGGAGGCTTCCAGCCAGGCTTGATACGAGTGAAGAAATAACGCCAACGACGGCTCTCGAAGAGGCTGAAGGGGCGACCGCCGGCGATTACAGCAGCGGCGGCATCATAGGCGAAACTGCGGCTCTCGTCCTGAGAGATACGCTGAATTCCGACCTCCGTTATCTTCTTTTGTACAGCTTCAGAATATGAGGGAAGATAGCCGGCGTTATCTCGAGCTTGGCGCTCTTGTCGCTGCTTAGCTTGCCATTTGTCACACGCAGCGAGGTGCTCTTTCGGCCTTCCAACAGAGGTCGCTGCAAACTCCTTCTGGCAGTGACGGCATCTGTATCGCTTACTTTTCTTACAGTTAGAGCGGCCAAGGTCGATAAACTGTCGCCAAACGAAGGCAGCGTCAGCTTTGATGGGCGGCATCTTTTTGACGATACCCTCATAGAGGAGAGAATTGCAGAGATTTTGTACAGCTCCGTACTTGTACGATGGGACCCATAAATTACCCTGTTAGGAACATTATGGGTCCTATCGTACGTACGCAGTACACGTACGTACATTTTCTTTTTGTACGTACGTACGTACAACACGGTTGTACACCCTGTACAACATCACTAGCCGCGTCAATGTCGCGGACAGCATCGCAATGGTTAACCCCACCGACACTTCTTCTGGTTACGGCATTGGTGTTATCAATGAAGAGTCCGAAAAGCCTTTTGTCACTGAGATTCCTGTCCCTCCATCCGTCCGCAATAGTCTGACACTGAAGCTAACCATGACATATGCCGATGTTCCCGGTGCAGCATTGTCTAATGGTCTCAATCTCGTGGTCAAAGCAGGAGACAGAGAAAGACATGGAAACCAGGGTCAACAAGAATTCGACAACACTGCAGCTGGGTCGTTTGACCGTAGGAATAATGTTGAGCAGGTTATCTGGCCGCAGATTCCTGGGGACAATGTAAAGATTATTATCAAGCCTTACCGACTGGTTAGTCCTCTTGTGCCGTTTTCATATGCCTGGAAGTCTTCTAAGACGGCTCGTCTTTAAGGTTAGGTATGAGTTTATATAACTAGGTGTTTAATTACAGTTATTCTTAGCTTTAAGCTCTATTTTTAAGTTCAATTATAATCAGTCCCTAGGATCGGGTTAGGGTTGAGATGAAATGCGCGAGTCTTAGTGAAAGCTTTACTAAAGCTCTCTATCTACTTGCCCTACGCCCTCGAACACAATTTTCAGCTCTTGTCGTCCCTTCAGGTACTTTTAACAACGTTCCTAATAAGCCAAATCTAGCAAGTCAAGTTGGCAAGCCAAATCAAGTCAAGTTCTCCTTATTCAGACCTGCGAGACTTGCAAGTCATATATGGCATCTAGTTTTTCCTATATATAGGGTCAATTGGCCCCGGAAAGTGGCCAAATATGGTTCTGGTGATAATTTTCGGGGTGGTGTTGTCTCGCCGCCACTTTATTTGGGCACCTAGGTGCCCATGTATTGGCCGCCCCTTAGGAATCTCTTTCTCCCCTTATAAACAATCATTTTGCCCAAGTCGCACTCGACCATGTTTGTGCCCTTGTCCCGTCACACTGGTTCTCAGACTTCAATAATGCCATCTGATGCATTATTGCCTTAGTTTCCTTAGAAAATGACCTAAGTGCCTCTAGAATAGATGCCGGGGAGCTGCTCTGGTGCCTTGTGACTCGTCTTCAAGGTATTCAGACTGAGAGCTAGCCTCAAGGACGGTCTTTGGGGTCTTTGGGGCCCAAGGGTCGGGGAGGCTAGCCTCCTCCTCGACCGGTGTTGGAGTCCGTAGCTGCACATCAAGCTTTGGAAGCACATTTTCTGGGTTAGAGGAAAAAAGTCCAGCCCCTCTCAAACCTCCCCTGATATTGCTTTCTGTCATTGCGGCTTGAAAGGCGGCATAAAAGGCTAGGAAGAATTCGGTCTTCGAAATGTGGGTGACGGAGCATCTGATCAAATGCTCAATCTCTCGACCGTATGCCTTTCTTAGCGGCCTAAAGCACCCAACGTCAAGAGGCTGAAGTAGGTGAGACGAATGAGGCGGCATGCAAAGCGTGATGATCTTGTTTTCCTCGCAATATGTCTCGAAGTCGACTGAATGGTGACTTTCATGCCCGTCAAGGATCAGAAGACGACAGTGACCAACAGATATCTTGATTATATGCTGGTTGAAGTGCTTCAGCCACTCGAGACCTGTCTCGTTATCGGTCCAGCCACTTTGAGTCGTGGTGATAGCCCAATCGCCCGGGAGGTTGCTTTCTTGGTACCAGCTGGCGAGGTGATATTGACCCGCAACCACGATGAACGGCTGGATCGGCCAGCCTTCCGTATTGATCGCCTGGATGACTGTAACCCATTCCCTGTTTCCAGTATTATTACCAGCAAAGATGAAATTCCAACTATGGCCGAGATTTGACTGGGGGTGGTTCACAGAGAGTCAGGCCGGTAGCAAGCAAGGTCCCAGCCCCCCTATTCCCAATCTCGTTATCCACTGGCGACCCTCTGGCCGGAGTGTGTGAACCGTGTCCCTCGGGTCCTTCTGTCGATGCTAACTCTTGCCCTTGTTCCAAGATATCGATATGGCTCCAACCGCAGTTCCGTCTTAAGCCGTTTTCCCTTGAAACTGTCCATGTCCGCGGCAAGGTGGTACGTGAGCGTATCAAGGGACGCAAGGTCGGCACACATAGACAGACGACAGCACAGGACAACTCGACTACTGACCAGATAGCCGGCATAGCCGTGTTCCAGGTAGGATCTGAGTTCGTTGTGGACTTACGCAATGTGAAGATCCGGATGACGGAGATGGCACAGGTACTTGGAAGAGCAATTTAGTTGAACGTTGGAGGATCGGAGCCAGATGGCTTACAAGAAGCCCATAGAGAAGAGGGAAATCAATGCCATCTTCTGAAACTTCTGGACGGGTAACGTTTTCAGGAGTGGAAAAGGCAAGCAATAGATGATGATATCTGTAACGATGTTGATAGTTGCGTTAAGAAACCAAAAGACAAGCCTGTCCATGCATTGAAGAGGCGGCAGTCTAGCCCAGTCGAGGGAGACCGGGATGCAAGTGAATATAACGGTGAGTGCAGATGCGAGTCCCCAGAGGGACACGAATGAAAGGAGGATATCGCATACCCTCTGTAACGTAGGCAATGGGAAGCAGCGCCTGTATTGCAAGAGAAATGCTACCTTGGCCGTGGCAATGGCGAGCTGATACGTGACTATCGCAAAGATAATGATCTTGCATGTCAGACCGTTAACACTTATAGATCAAAAATGAGTCTCTCACCTTCCACCACGTCTTAATACCCTCTCTGTCGAGGTCATGTATGTGTCGACCAAGGCCATACCTAGTAGCTTATGCAAGGTTAGCACCCGATGACGAGAGCAACTCTAGCTATGCATACCTAAAGCCGCCGTGATGCCGGACCCGAGAAGCAAGACCTGTTCACACGGCCATAAGTTTTGGGATAAGCCACACAATCATAGAGGGCTTCACTGCAAGAAACATACAGAAGTTATTGCCGCAGCCCAGTCATCATACCCGACTTTCTTGACTATAGCTACCCGGACATAAAGGCGCAAAGCAGCACTGGCCATTGCAATAAAAAGGCAGACAACAGTAACTATAACAACCCTAGTCCTGATGTCGTCGAGAGCATCTGACGGGGGAGACTCGCGTGGACTCATTTCGATTCTAATCACTGGCTTGGATGGTGTCGCAGAATAAAGCACTCTTAAAGTTGGATGTGGTTTCGCGGGTTATTGATGTGTTGTTTCAACATCAAGAGGGTCGTAGTGATGGATATGTTAGGAAGGTTGGGGTGACGTTTCGCATGCATTGCTTCTTCTGAAGCCGCAACTGGAACGCGTGCCTGACGCTCTTGACTACCAGGACTCGTACTTGTTCAGCGTGGCGGCGTTATTGAGTGTTGACAAGCCTGGCTTCCACACCGCCGGATTGGACCACTGGATATATACATACTGAAAAAGCAACGTTATCTCTACAAGTACGTACCTACGCAATATAAAATACTGACAACTCGGGGGAGCTCCCTGGTCCGAGGAAAGCCTCGCGTCAGCATGACTCAGTACCCGAAGTGATGTGGCTTGGTGGCGAAAATCCTCTCTGCGGGCGTCTGGCATCATATCGCAGGGCCTAGAGAGGGTTACCGGCAAGCCACAAGGCTTTTTGGGTTTTTCCTTGTTTGCTACCGAAGTCTGTGCGGGTGCGGGAGATCAAAGTCTCAATGCCGGATCGCCACTACACAATTCAAATCTCCACCTGAAACAGGGGTGCGTAGCCGAGGACAGAGTGATTTTAGGGCAATTTGCAAACGTGCGCCGACTTTGACCATGTAATCACTCTAACCCCGGGGCAGTTGCCCGCATCCAGCGAGCGAAAAGAAGTCATCACATGTCAGATATGAGAGGAATGAATTACCTGAAAACGACACAGTGACGTGGTGGAAATTAGGGTTTCGGCTTGCTTAAATCTGCGGGGTCTCGACCCCAGCCATTCAATTTCTGGTGCAGATGGATTGGTCCCGGTCAGAGCCTACACGGTCTGGAGATTGGTCATTGCAGTAGAACCCTAAATCGTTAACGCCCTTTTTTATTGCAGTTAAGTTACATCGCTCCAACCATCAAGTCGGAAACCCCGGCTCGGCTCGAATGCATAAACCCACCTTCCCCCCCTTGGTACCCCTGTCACATAATACATCACTTTCCTGCAACTTCCCTCCCTCATCCTGTTATTGCTTGTCATTGTTTGAGATAGGGCCTTGCATAGCCTATTCTTGTTCATTCTACTCATCGCAAGACACAATACTAAATGCCAGATGCGAGGATGAGGAGAACGATCCTGTCACAATCACGTCTTGATTGTGGTAGCAGGAGTTGCTTGTACCTATGCCGCGCCGCCCGTCCTACTCGAGTATTTTAGAACAAAGTCAAATTGGCTTGATCCTAGCCGGGTTATGGGAATGGTGGCCATCCAGTTGGTTTTAAGACGGTAGCCCGGTTTAACTTGCGCCATGGTTTAAGTCTCAGGCTGGTATGTACACCAACTCGATACCGCATAGCCAAGATCCCCTCCCATCCCCTCGGAGCTTTCCGTCTCACTACCAGAGGCTTGTTTAACACAGCACTCGCTCTAACAGAATAATGAGGTTGCGCAAAATGGAAAGAAGAGATGATTGGAATTGAGCCACTGAAGAAGACCCAATTAGAGATCAGAGGGTTCCTTCTTGTGCTGCTACTTTCCCTTAGATGCATAGGGATGTGGGTGTAATTAGCATGGGAGGCCGGGAATGACCTGCGGCATTCAATCTCACCCTTGGATTCTTTCCGGCACCCCTCACCCGGAATCTGATTTATAACCTTCGAGTCATGGGCCCTGATGTGGCACACGCCACACAGTTGCTGTAATCTCTAGCTTTACGGTCTGTGGGCGAGGGGATGATTCCTGTATTGTACTGAATGATATACTTGTGTTGCTGTTGCCCTGACCGTGCTAAGCTCCCAAAACGGTATTAAAAAAAAATACAGTAATCCGCGCAAGCGCATGATGAGTATCATTCTCTGTCCTCCTAGTCATCGCGACCGTCAACAGCGGTAGTTAGCCGCTTCGAAAACTCGAAATGAAAGTCCTTTGGCCACTGTTCCTGTGGTTCTCCCTCCTGGCACTTCCAGGGATCATGGCGACATCATCATCTGCGCCTGCTGAGATGCCTGATTGCGCCGTAAGTTTGCTGATTCCACGCTCCTTGAGCGACGACAACTCATCTAACCTTGCTCAATATCCGCTCCTCTAGTCCCAGTGCATTGCTACTGCCATCGCCGACTCACCATGCCCGAGTATCGACGAAACTTGTCTCTGCTCCAATAAAGCCGTCCAGAGTAAGACGGCGGGATGTTTCATGGAGAGCTGCACCGTCAAGGAACCTCTCAGTATGTATCGTCTAAATTATTTCCGTCTTTTGCCCACTAACGCCCATCAAGTTGCCACCAATTTAACAAGGACCCGCTGTGGTGCTCCCATCCACGATGGGTCGCGGGCGTGTGTTGCACAGTTTATCACACTTACAGTCATCTCTACGCTTTTCATTATCGAGAGATTCTCTGTCAAGCTCTTCTGGGGCATTACGATTTGGCTCGATGACTGGTCCATCCTCATCAGCTACCTGATGTCCTTTGCAAAGATGCTCCTTGTAGTCTGTGGCGTCGTAGGCCACGGGCTCGGCCGAGACATATGGACGCTATCCCCGTCTGATATTACTGCTTTTGGCATATATATATATGCTTCGGGCCTTGCCTACACTGCTGCGATTACAATGCTTAAGCTTTCACTGCTTTTCTTCTATCTTCGCATCTTCCCGGCTCAACTTGTCCGCCCGATCCTATGGGGTACTGTTATATTTACCGCCTTATCTGGTATTGCGTTTTGTCTTACTATTGCTTTCCAATGTCGGCCTATTAGCTACTTCTGGAATGGGTGGGATGGTGAGCATCAGGGGCATTGCAGTGATGCGAATGCCACGGCTTGGAGCTATGCAGCTCTGAGTATTGTTATTGACATCTGGATGTTAATAGTCCCTTTATCACAGCTCAGGTCTCTGAACTTGTCTTGGAAAAAGAAGGTTGGAGTTGGTGTTATGTTTTGCCTTGGGACCTTGTAGGTTTTCCCTCTTCAGTATACCTAGAAGAAATCTAACCTCGTTCTAGTGTCACAATCATAAGTATTCTTCGTCTACGCTCCCTGATCAAATTTGCACTCAACATCCCTAACCCCACGCGGGATTTTGTTGACGTCACTATATGGTCTGGCATCGAGATGAACGTCGGAATTATCTGCGCCTGTCTACCATTTCTAAGATTTCTTCTCGCCCGACTATTCCCCAGGATTTTGGGTCCCTCTCAGAAATACTACTCTGGTCAGGCCGGGAGAGATGAGGCTGAACTGTCAAACATCAGGAGCAGGGTTTTGGGATCACATGCGCAGAGAGTCACATACGTCGAGACCTCCTCTCAACGGCGGAATGAAGCTGGCGGAATCACCATTCAGAGGACGTATGCTGTTGAGAGCGGGGATAACGATGAGATACATTTGGTCTCTGCGAGAGATCTTGACCAAACGAGCTTAAGGTCTGATATCTCATTGTGACCTATATAAATGGCTTATCTTCAAGGTGGTTGTCCTTCGGTCAGCAGGCAACTAGCCACGATCTCGCGCAACAGAATCCCAAATTCCACGTTCCCAGATTGCCAATATTTAGCCTATCAGCTTTAAATCTCTACCTAATGTCTCGTTATGCTTCAAGTGAATACCGTAGGGCGGTGATCTTATTGGATTGGAAGCAATTTGGATTGGACTGGAGTGGACAGAAAATGGCTGGGTTGGATTTTGTCAGATATTTAACTCGCTTGTGGAGAACGTTAGGTGAAATTGTCTGAGTATTAATGATTACACCAGTCGATCCATGAGAATTATCTGACGTTTAAGAGCCCAACGACAAGATTCACTGAGTCGTGTAGCTCTTTATACACAAATGAAAGGGTTGCCTATTTTAGGCAGTACCATGCAGTACCCACCTGCCGTACGTACCCACCTACCGTACACCAAAAAAGATTTTCCCCATACAAAATGCCCAATTTCACTTATAGAGTACGTTGTCAAAATGAAAGATATTTTGATGAGAAAATGTCTGTTATATTAAGAATTGCATGGAATTTAATATTTCTACTTTGCTTCCACAGTGACGCTTGCTGTGTGGTCGCACGGAACTAATATAAAATGTCTCAAAATGCCTCCCTTATCAACCAGCCTCCTCGAAGCTTCATCCAAACTTTTCTCTTCCCCATCTTTCCTTGGCCACCTCAAACATGCCTCAATCATTTTATACGGAGGACGATGTTATCCAGGCCATACTAGATGTCACAGAAAATGGCCTCTCCCAGAACCAGGCCGCCCAGAAGAACGGCGTGCCTCCGACCACTCTCTCTGACCGATTAAGAGGCCTACCGTCAAAATCCGAGGTCACCCAGCCTGCTCAGCTGCTATCCAAGTCGGAGGAGTCCAGATTGGTTACCTGGATACTTCGACAAGAGGCCTTGGGCTATGCTCCTTCTCACAGTCAAGTTCGCGCCACCGTTGCTGCCCTCTTGAGACAGCAAGGACGGGAAAGGCCTATCGGTGTACACTGGCTAGCTAGGTTCATTAAACGCCATGACGATATCAAGACGAAGGTGGGGAAACGCCAGGAAGCTGCGAGGTTCAATTCCTTTACCCCAATGGCCGTCAATTGGTACTTTGATATTCGGGAGAGCGAATATGGCTGGATCAAACCGGAGAACACGGTTAATGTTGACGAGGGCGGTATCATGGCTGGATTTGGTGAGTATTGATCATTTTTGCTACCAAACTCACTAATCCACTGAAAAATATAGGCTTGGATTCCTTGGTCATTGGCAGTAGCGATCCTAGGAGGAAGGCCTTCCTCAAGGGCTCTCAGTCCCGCACTTGGACTACCTTTATCGAAGCTGTCACCGCAGATGGTCGTCTTCTGAAGCCGGGGATTATCTTCAAAGGTAAAGAGCTTCAGCAGCAGTGGTTTATCGACGAGCTCCGGGGGATCGCCGACTGGTATTATATCACGTCCGACAATGGCTGGACG